GTCCCCCACCACCGCCACCCCCTCCATTGATACACTGGAAACCCCAAAAGGGTGCGAGTGACCCCCTTCCTTCAGCGGCTTTTCTTGGTTCAATGAACTTACAGTACCATTTTTATACCAATTTAAAGATCAAAAGTTATAAACATGTAACAGGCAGACAGATGATAGGCTGGAAGTGGAGAGGATGGCGAGGAGAGCCGCTGTCCACCTGGGAAGAAGGGCGTAGACAGTGATGCTGGAGTAGAGAAACCTGGAGAGGGGTCAGTGCGGCCGGGGGACGCAGCCCTGCACGAGTGAGCAGAGATGCTGTGGCCACAGGAGAGAGCGCTGCGTGTGTGGGCTGAGCAGGCCATGCCTTCTAAAATGAAAGGAGGTTTGCATTTGACCATGTCAGGGGGCAGGAGAGGGGAAAGGCACACAGGAGCCGCGTGGGGCTTAAGGCCCCACCGTGCTGACCACACCAGACAAGGTTGGGGCCGTGCACTCTCCTCTCCCCTGAGGAGCCGGGAAACACCAGCTCATGCTCGTACCAAAGCAAGAAATGAAGGCAGAGGGGCCGGAACAGGACGGGTCAGTAGAAACAGGCAGCAGGGAGTGACATTCCCCTGGGCCAGGACCAGAGACCACCCCAGCAGGGTGCGGAGACCTGGACTCCAAGTGCAGCAGGGAGGACCTGAGCCAAAAAGGGACAGCTCTGGGGCCCACAGAGGCTGGCCTTGGGTCCCAGGACCAGGCTGGTGGAAGCATCATGAGAAGGCCTGGGGAGGCCCCACCAGCTGCCCAGGGCACGGAGCCCTGGGCTCCCGCAGGTGAAGGGGGCAGGCATAGATGGGGCGGAGGCAGGCGTAGGTGTGGTGTAGCCACGATGGGTGGCAAACTATTAAGAACTGGGAGCCAGCTTCTGCGGACTCTTGAACACTTTCTAGCGCTGCTCCTCCCTTTGGGCTGTGTGCATTCGCTGCCCTGGTTTAGAGTAGAAACAGCCCCGCAAACTCGAGCAGCGGCCGATGCATTCCAACCTGGGTTCCAGCTGCAGAGCAAGGCCAGGAGCAGACCACCACAGCCCAGAGGTGCCAGGGAGGCCGTGCAGAGTGCGAGTGTCCTGAGGAGGCCACCGGGCCAGGACAGTGACACCCACAGAGGCTCGGGAGCATTCAGTCTCGCACAGATGTGGCTCCTCGCTACACCCACAGCCAGGCCTAGGGGTCCCAAAGGCCTCTCTCTTCCCCCACTCAGAAGATTGGCAAACCCAAGCCTGGATGTACCACCAGGTGGGACCCCCACCAGCTCCCCAGTGCTGAGTGCATTGTCCCTGTCGACCCATGGGCAGCTCAGCTGAGCAAACCCTTTCTCCATAGGCAAGAGAAAGGAGCAGGTGCAGCAGCCAGGGTTCCCCAGGGTAGGGGAAGCTGAGGAAAGGAAAAGACAAACCCTCTGGGGAAAGACGAAGCTTCAGCTCCTAGAGGACACAGTCTCTCCGAAGCGAGGACCTCAGCACTCTAGGTTTGGGGACCTGGGCTCCCACCTCTCCCATTCTTCAACAGCCCACCTGAGGGTCTGGACACGGGGTGAGGGGCGAGAGGAGGGCTTCACCTGGTGCTGGGGAAGTGCCAAGTCCTGATCTGTGCACCTGGCAAGCCAAGGAACAGACAGGGACAGGCCTGTGCAGATGCTGCTGGCTGGGTGGAGGCTGTCCCCAGGCCCTTCAGCAGCTTCTCACCAGGCCATCCTCATGGCCACCAGTTCTGCACAAAGGGCTCCTTCCCCACAAAGCCCACAAAGCCGATCATCAGAAAAAAAAAACCTGTTCATCAGGCCCCATACGGGATTGGCCCACCCAGCCTGCAACATCTGCTGCTGTTTATCACTTGTGGTTTCCTTCCCATTCCCATTCACTCTGGACCCCAGCACTCGGCACATAGTAGATGCTCAATAAACACGGTGGTTCATTGACCAGGCAATCTGCCTTATCCCATTTAATTCTTAGCACAGCAACACAGGGGCACAGAGTGAAGTAGCTGAGCCAAGGTTCTTGAGATGGGAAGGGAGCACTGAAACCGGAGCCTCAGTTGGACTCCAGGGCATGGAGTCCTGCTTTCCTGTAGGGCTCAGGAGGCACCCTCTGACTCACTTCACACCCCCAGCTTTCTCTGCATGACCTCTGAAGGAAAAGCCCCTGAGGAAGGAAGACAGAATCCCCCAAATTCCTGCTGCTGTCTCTCACTGCGTAACTCTGGTGATGTGACACCTGTGTGTGTCTGGAGTTTTCTTCATATAAATAAAGCATTGACCTGGCTGCCAAGTGGCGGCAGCAGCTCCTGTGAATCGTCAGGGATGTCTGCAGGGTTACCTGCACAGGTAAGGCCAAGCCAGGAGACACCGGCATTTGCCACCCGGCGCCTCCCTCAGACAACTTCAGATCGTCAACGTGGAGCTTTGCCGGAGCAGAGAACTCAGCAGAACCCCCAGTTTCGAATGTTCCCTCCTTTCTCCCCATCTCTGCGGTCTCAGGGGGAAACTGAGAGGGCCAGGGGGTCAGGTAACCAGAGGGACAAAGAGCAGAGATAATGAAGGAACCGGCGTGCCTGTCACTAGGACTCATGGTGGTGTGGAAGGTGGTGTGGAAGAACATGGTGACAGAAAGCAATACATCCCTCATCTCTGGCCCCCAGTGGCCCCCAGGGCCCCCTCCTAGGAAGCAATACGGGTTTGTTTCCATCACCTTTGATGGAGAGGAGATGGCGCGGATCGCAGGGAGACAGATTCACACTGGAAATTCCAGGATTTACCCAGTGCCTGGTACTTTAAGAGAAGGAATGGCGGCTGATGGCAGCGGCGCTGAAAGTGCTCTCAGCTGAGCCTGGTGCAACCCACCCGTGACAGCGCTGCTGGGTGTGCAGCCTGGGAGGCGAGCGAGAAGTTATCATGCTTTGCCTGGCACATGCTTGGGCAAACGATTCAGCTTCAACCAGGGCTCACAGTCCAGCTAGGAGCTGCCAGCGGGGTTCACAGCAAGGGGCAGAGGGCGGGGGCAGCTCAGGAGCAAGCAACAGACCTCCTGGAGACGGGGGGCCGGCGGGCGGGGGGGAGTTGGAGACCAGTCTGGCGCCTCCCTGTTTGCCCGGGAAAGGACATTTATGGAAGGAACTGAGGGGAGAATAATGCTCATCGTGTTCTGCAGCGTTCCAGGCAGTGTTTACATTCATTCGTTCCCTTCTCATTCCAGTCTATAAAGTAGATTTTATGATGCCTTCTTTAGAGACGAGGATGCCAGCTGGGAGAGCCAAGGGGCTTGCTCGTGGTTACAGGAAGTGGTGGAGCTGGTGGTCAGTCCGCCTCTCCCCCTCACAGGTGCCGCATGCCATGTCTCCCCCAGGGCCTCCCTGCAGGCTGCTTTCCCGGAGATCACCCCAACCTCAGCGTGTCCACCGTGAAAAGCTATCCTGCCCACAGTAACCGCCTGGCCTGCCACGCCCAACGTCCTCCTCCCACCCCTCCTGAAGCTATCCTCCACTTTTCACCTGCTTCCAAGAGAGCTGCTCCCGGGACACCTTTGGGAAGTTCTTAGGACGGACCTGCTTACTGTAGATCTGGTGACTACTCACTTTAAAAAGATTTCTTTTTTTAAAGGCAGGTCTGCGATACATTCTCATCTATTGGGCAGAAAAAGTGTGTGTGCATGTGCCTATGTGATGTGCATGTCTGTGTGCTCATGTGCACGTGTGTGTATGCATTTGTGTGCGTGTGTGTGTGAGTGGATGTGTGAGCACTGGAGCATGTGTGTGGATGTGTGTGAGTGTGCATGCTGGAGCAGTGACATATTCAAGGGAGGGCCACTCCTTCCTTTGGGGAGAAAGAAGGCTGTTACAGTCCCATGCAACTGCAGACTCCTGGTCCTGGAGTCAGAGACCTGGGTCTAGTTGTGTGTCTGCCCCTGCCCAGCTGCCCCGCACTGATGAAATACCGGGGTGACCACCTGTCCTCGAGGATGCTTCCTCCTCCCGGTTATCTGAGTCTCTCAAAGCCGGCTACAGTAGAGGAGGGCTGTACTTTCCATTTCACGGGGATCAAGCTGGGCACAGGGTGAGGGCGGCTTGTTGACTTAAATCTACTGATTAAGCCGGCTAAGTGCACATCTGGGAACAGGAGAGACTCAAGCCTGGCCGGCACCTGCTCTGTGCCGGGGTATCTCCCCCTGGCCTCCTTCAGTGGGGTACTCCGTGGGCAGAAAGGTGAGAAGCAGCTGCACGGGCTTCCTGAAACGTCCAGCTGAGGTTTGAGGGATTTCCTCACAATGGCTTTTCCCTGGGGACTTTAGGGGGAGCTCATGAGAGCCCCTTCCAAGCCGGCGCGCTCATTGTCCCTCTCCGCCCGTCAGAGGGGGCCACGAACAAAGGGGGTCTATTCTGAACCCCTCTCCCGTGTAACTCAAGTCCGCTAGAAACACTGGACATTCGAGGGACTTCCTATCTCCGCACAGGAGGGGACAGCCGGACCCGCTGCCCCCCAGGCTCTCCGCGGGGACCCGGAGGTGCAGCGGCCCGGAGTCCCCCTCTGTAGTCGGAGCTACCCACCTGCGAGGGAGCAGCTCCCCGCTGCCGGCGCCCCCCGCACCTGCCCCCGCGCGACAGGAAGCGGCTGCTGCTCGCCCCCTCCGCGGACCACGACCCAAGGGCTGCCCGGCGGGCCGATCCACCGGAAATTAAAGGCTTCATGTGCCAGCCCTTGAATGTAAAAACTCAGCCTAACCAGATCTTGAAAAAGAAAAGCTCTGCCTATGAAATGGAAACACTAGCCTGCCCCCCCCAACCCCCAGGCGAGTCGCCCCTTTCCCCGGGGAGCCGGCGCGTGGGGACCCCCGCCCCCGACCAGAGCTGGCGGAGCGCACGGAGGCCGCAGCCAGAACCCGCAGACGCACGGACAGTCCCGCCCCGCCGCGCCCGGCCCCGGCGCTGTTCCCCGGGGGGAGGAGGGGGTGTCTGGGTGGGGGAGGGGGCTACCTTCTGAATGCGTCCATCGATGTCCAGGTAGATGGCCTTGGGCCGGTAGCTGGAGGAGCCGGATCCCATCCTGCGCCCGGCAGCTGCACTTGGACTTTTTACTGTACTTTCCCGACGCCAGCCGCCGCGGGAGGCGGGGGAGGGGAGCAGGGGAGGGGGCGGGAGGGGGCGGGCG